ATGTTATATGTGAAGAGAGGAATGTTGATGTGTTGCACAGGGTGTCTGTGGATCCAGGGACAGACTTGGGGGGAGGGGGGGTGGTAATTGTTTTGAAGGGGTGGATGAAGTGTTTCTGTGAGTTTAGGAAAGGCTGGGTGGAGGTAAGGGTTATGTATAGGTTGGGCGGGGGAGGGGTCAGATAGTTGTTTGAATGGATAGAGGGCGCTCCACATACATGTAGGTCTTGTGTCACATGAAGGTAATGGTGCATGAGGTGAAGGTTGATAGGAGTCCACTTGTAAAAGACGTTGACAGAAAAGTGTACAGGACAGACTTTGTGCTCGGGTCTGACATTTTGTCGTTGTCTCCTGCCAGGTGGAGCTATGTAAGCGAGTGATGAACATCTACCGACATGTGGTCATGAACGTGGAGATGAACCAGCTCACTTGGTAAGTTCGGGCCAGATGGGGTCGCGTACGAACATTTCCTAAAATATTCATTTTTCAAATTAAATTAGAACCAGCCCTTAAGTAAACTAGGTGCAGTGTGTTGTCAGGACTAAGTTCTCTTTTTGCTGCTATTTGTCCTTCCTAAGAAAGCTAACCTGAGTTGGCAGGTGATTGGCGGGTGCTCTGGTGTGTTTTGCTCCTTCTTTCCTATCTAATATCTATTGTCTTTATTTCTCTTCTATCTTTTTTGTTGTGTTTGTTACTATCTTGTAACGCCTTTTATCTTCTGCACTTATATGACCTAGTTATGTTACAAGTGCTGTGAAACACTTACAAAAACGTGGTATACTAGAACAGTATATCGACTGCTTAGTCCTTCTTCTTCAATTTTTAGTATTGTTGTTGTTGTTATTATTATTATTATTATTATTATGAGAACCTTTCATTGAAGGCTTACAAGGCTCCACTCTTATCACTTTACTTGGTTGAACTTTTTGATTAGATGCCAAGAAGAGTTGTGGGAAAGTTGTTGACAGGAAATCTCTGGACTTTGTTCCCTCAGGGAGCTCATGTTGAAAGTGCTGCTGAAAATCACGTCTGGCGTCCTGAAAAAAAATCCTCCGGAAGAGAGATACCGCACCCTGGGAGGTCGTCTGGCACAGCCCATTCTGCAGGTCGGTTACGTTTGTGTTGTTGCTTGTGCTCATTTGTACTTGTGTGATTATTATGTGGCAAATGAAGAATACCTTGTTGTTTTATATGGCACACTTTTAGTAAAACTGTATGTGTCATGACGTGGTGGAATCAGGGGCTCGTCAGTTTTTGGGCATGTGGAGTTATTGCTATCATCTAAAAGCTTATTCATTTGACTTGCTTTCAATGAATAAAATCCTCCATCGATCTTGAATAGAAGTTTAGATATTTGTGATTGAAGGAGGTGGGCTTGCCTGATTTCAGTGGTAAAATTAATGAGAAAATGGCCGCCAAAGTTTGGTAACTTCAATAGCTTGAGAGTCCTTGAAAACTGAAAAATGAGATATTCCGTGCCTTTAATCAAAGTTTTTCAGTCCAATACACATGGACATTTTTTAATTAAATGGACTTAAAAGGTGTTGTGTGGGAAAAAAAAATTTCGATAAAAAATTACTAAACTGGTGGAAAAAATGTCGCTTCGTTTTTATTATTTTGACGAGCGCCTGATTTCACCACGATGCCTCACATATTGACTGCTTGGTTTAAGACTCTGGGGTACGCCATTTTGAAAAGTGACGTTGAACAGAGTCTTACACTGAGCAGTGGATATACTGTCTCTAGGGACCTGATATGCCTGAAGTGTTTGTTCCCAGAGACCCTAGGTATTTTTGTTAGTTTAAAGTACAGAGTTGTCCACTTAACCAAACATGGTTAGTCTGAAAACAGCAGTAAACCAAAAGAAAATGAACTCCTTAATTATTTTTTTTTTGGGGGGGGGGGAAGGAGGGAGGAGGTTCTTCACTATTTGAGGAATCTCTAACTTTAAGCCAAAAATATGATGGCTGAACCGAAGAAAATTGGGCAGTCCTGCAGATGTTGGTTTCCACGGACTTCACTCTACTTGTCTGTCTGTCTGTGTGAGTTGTCTGTGACTGTGCCAGTGAATGAAGCCAGAAGTGTATTATGTTATGTAGATAAATACACTTCGTCATCTGGCACAAAAAGTAAACTGACTTTGCCACGGTGCCGCTTTCAGTCCAGCTGTGCATCGGCCGAGGGGTCAGACATTTCCTGTTTCTCTCTTTTTACTCTGTGTTACCCCTACATAATATGTTTATTGAATGTGGGTAGTTGGCGGGTGCTGTAGTGTAGTTTGCTCCTTCTTTCTTATCCAACAAACATCTGTTGTCCTTTTCTCTCCTCCTCCTTTTCTTTGTGTTTAAGTAACAGCTCTACTATTTGGCATATATATGTCCTATATGTGCTGCAAGTCCTGTAGAATTCTTATTGTCTTTTTTCTATGTACAAACATATATATTTTCTCGTATATCTTACTCTCCAGTAACACCTGGAATCTTTGGCACTTATATGACCTTATTGTATTGCAAGTGCCGTAAAACGCTTATTAAAACCAACCCCCAGACGCTGATCGTGACGTGGACGAAGGCCAACCTGAACGTGCTGGTGACGGCCTCGCTGTGGGACGAGTTCCTGGCCGTCCTCTCCTCCCTCACCTCCTGGAAGGAGTTGATCCACGAGTGGTCGGTACGGAATTATGATAAAAATATTAATAATAATAGTAATAAATAGCTTTGTATAGCGCATAACCCTGCTCAACAGCAAGCTCTATGGGCTTCACAATCTATACTATTACCCCAGCAGACCGGAGAGCATTCGGAAACAACCTCAACTTCCTGGGAAGCATACAGTGCAAGCAGCTGATTGAGCGCTCAAACACTAACAAATTGACAAGGTCTTTCGCTCTCTATAGCTGGGTACCCCTTCCCACCTGGGTGAAGTGAGGAAAATTCGTGTAAAGTGCATTTCCCCAAGGACACAACGTCGGGCCCCTGACAGGATTCGAACCCATGACCATACGGTTGCGATTCTAAGAGCCTAACCACTAGGTCACCGACGCCAAACGTGCTCATGGGTTTTTTTCTACGCTGTGTCCAAGTTTTGATGGTCTATAAATTCTTCTCTGTGTGAAATGTGCAAGAGTTAAGTTTTACACCCCTACACCCCCTCACTTTTGACAACTTTCGTTCCATTCTCTCCTCCCTCACTTCCTGGAAGGAGTTGATTCACGAGTGGTCGGTATGTGCTCACAGGTTTTTTTTCTACACTGTGTCCAAAGTTTGATGGTCTATTCTTCACCATTCATGTAAAATTGGTAAGAGTAAAGTTTAACACCCCCCAACCCCTTGCTGTTTGACGAATGCCTTTCATTTCTTACCTCCCTTACTTCTCGGAATGAGTTGATGCATGAGTTGTCGGTACATATACGCACTGGTTTTTGTACACGCTTTGTGGGGTTCTTTCCAAGACGTCATGTGTCCAAGACGTCATGTGTCCAAGACGTCATGTGTCCAAGACGTCATGTGTCCAAGACGTCATGTGTCCAAGATGTCATGTGTCCAAGACGTCATGTGTCCAAGACGTCATGTGTCCAAGATGTCATGTGTCCAAGACGTCATGTGGGTAAAAGTAAAGTTTAACAGATGTTATCATGATAGGGGCATTACACCCACACATGTGCCAGTTTGACTTCTGTTTTAGCCCTTCATCTATGTTCTACTTGTGCTGCTGTGTGACATTTCCCAGAAAACTATGGAGACGCTGACCCGTGTGTTGGCCAGACAGGTGTACGGCCTTGACCTGAATGACCTCCCCCTGGAGAGACTGAGCGAACAGAAGGAGAAGAGGAGGAGAGGAAGAGGTAACGGGAGTCCTTGCTTAAATTTTCTCTGTGGCAAAATAGTACCGCTCACTGTACTTCAAATAAGGTGAAACCCATTTTTCATCTTCTAGTATGATTATTTGTAAAAAATCATAATAAAAAAAAAAAGAACAGTTAAGGTTTTAGGAAAAATTTCCAACTTTAACTGTTCTTTTTCTTGTTTAAAAAATAATTTGAGTGGCTCATGTGATGCACTCAGGAGACCTGACTTTCTCATCTAAACAGTTGTGAATGTGGATAAAACTTTGTATGGAGATTTTTAAAGGGAAGCTGCACTCCTTTGTGTTTATGTCTGTTCTTTGTCTTGAGTCGAGTTGGGGAAAAAAATAATTTCGTGAAACTGTGGAAATCAATTCTTGGGGGAATGAGTAAACAAATGTCATTCTTTCTGCGTGTGCAGAATCGACCAAAGGCAAGCCCTCCTCCTCCACCACCACCTCCACCTCGGCCAAAGCCGTCCCTCGCTTGGACAAGAGTTTTTCCCGTGGCCTGAGCGGCAGCGACGGACATCCCATCAACCCGCTGCGCAGCTCCACCAACAGCGCCCCCTCCCCCGAGACCTCGGCCTCCTTCGACCGGGGGACCAAGTACAAGAGTGATGGTCAGTGCCCGGTCAACCTGGTCAAACTAAGCCGGACGTTGAAGGGGTTTGGGTACCTGGTCAACCTGGTCAAACTAAGCCGGACGTTGAAGGGGTTTGGGTACCTGGTCAACCTGGTCAAACTAAGCCGGACGTTGAAGGGGTTTGGGTACCCGGTCAACCTGGTCAAACTAAGCCGGACGTTGAAGGGGTTTGGGTACCTGGTCAAACTAAGCCGGACGTTGAAGGGGTTTGGGTACCTGGTCAAACTAAGCCGGACGTTGAAGGGGTTTGGGTTCCTGGTCAACCTGGTCAAACTAAGCCAGACGTTGAAGGGGTTTGGGTACCCGGTCAACCTGGTCAAACTAAGCCGGACGTTGAAGGGGTTTGGGTTCCTGGTCAACCTGGTCAAACTAAGCCAGACGTTGAAGGGGTTTGGGTTCCGCATTTAAAAAATCTCAAGACGACGGTCTAAAATGGAGATATAATTTTTGTCCGAAACTGTTGTTGAATCATTTAATTAACTGGAAATATTGAAGGTTTAAGAAATAAAGCAGTAGTTTTGACGTAATACTACTTTTACTTTGGTGACTTACAATAGGCCTTTTCACTTCGCTTGGTACCATAAAAGATTGTAGATCCAAGGATGTCTGAGAACTCTACGAGACAGTATCGTACTAATTAAGTCAAATAGATTGTAGATCCAAGGATGTCTGAGAACTCTACGAGACAGTATCATACTAGTTAAGTCAAATAGATTGTAGATCCAAGGATGTCTGAGAACTCTACGAGACGGTATCATACTAGTTAAGTCAAATAGATTGTAGATCCAAGGATGTCTGAGAGCTCTACGAGACAGTATCGTACTAATTAAGTCAAATAGATTGTAGATCCAAGGATGTCTGAAAACTCTAAGAGACAGTATCGTACTAATTAAGTCAAATAGATTGTAGATCCAAGGATGTCTGAGAACTCTACGAGACAGTATCGTACTAATTAAGTCAAATAGATTGTAGATCCAAGGATGTCTGAGAACTCTACGAGACAGTATCGTACTAATTAAGTCAAATAGATTATACATGTCTAGATTTAGTCCTCATAGTTTTGTGTAACAGTAATTCATTTTTGGTATTATTTTCTGTCTGTCATATTCAGTGGGCGGAAATGTTTTTCAAAACTGAAAAACAGTGAGATATTTTAAAAGTTTGTAGAAAAATTTATAAGATGTCTGGTTGTTTTCCCGTTTTTGTCTTGATGAGAGTGTTGATATTAAGTGGAAATTGTCCAAGATGGCCGCTCAATTTTCGTGGAGAAAAATTGTCCTCTTAGACAGGAGGGCGTCTTGGTCAGGGTAAAAATACTTGGGAGGGGGGATGGGAAGTGGCTGTTTGTACAGGTGATTGTCTTATACAGGTGGCAGTTAGAGCAGGCTAGAACAGGTTCGACCGTATTTGAACAAGGTCCATTTTTTTTTTGGTGATACTTTAGGTGCAGGTGGAAAAGTGCGCCCGGATTTGTCCAAACAAAAGTCGTTGAGCGGGGAGCCAAGCCCGTCCCACTCGCGGTGCCCGTCCACGTCCACCGAGTGTCTGGTGCGCTCCAGCAGTGAGGGGAACATCGCCGCAGACCCACACGAGCTGCTGGAGAAACTGAGAGGTTTGTCGGAGACTTGTGATGTTTCTGGGAGACTCGCGATGTCTGTGGGAGACTTGTTATGTTTCTGGGAGACTCGCAATGTCTGACCCGACTTCCTGTTTGCTGATCTGGAAATGCGGGCAGAGCGGAACATGATAGTAGAATGTCGTCCTCATGACAAGAACGGCTGACCCAGAAAGAGTTACTTGTTCACGAGAAGCAAAAAAAAACCTTGTTGGATTCACTCTGCAGCAACCTGGCAGTCGACAGGTCGGCCAACTTTAGTTCTCACGTTGTTGGAGCATTTCTAGTCAAAATTCAGACCTGTCTTTGACCAGGCATATAAGTTTTGGTTTGAATCTTCTATGGGTTAGCCAGTCTTGTGGTAAGGGCGACAGTAAAAACTTTTGTTGCTCCTGGGATTTTTTTTTTTATAAAGAAAGAAAGGCAGAGGGGCAAAAAGTTGTGACAGTTTGAGACTTTTTGAGACTTTGCCAAGAACAAATGAAGGGGACCAGTTTGTTCAATCAGTTTCTTCTTTCCCCTACTATCAAGTGTAGTAATCTTGTTATTACAGCAGTGTTGCTGGCAACTGAGTCGGCCATGGAGCGGTTGTCACTGAAAGAGAAAGTTTTGAGTCAGCAGTTATCAGAGATATCGCTTTTATACTGTTCATGACTTTAGATTTGATTTGATCTCCTTTATCTCTTGTGATGCTTTTTGGTCGGCATTAATGTGAAAATGTACAAGTTGTGGTTTGTTTTGATTCCTTTACTGGAAGCAGCATTTCACAACCTCAGTGCTTTCTTGTTGTATCACCTTTTTTTTAACTGTGAAAATGTGACTTCTTCTTAAGCTCACTTTTTGTTATGATGAACTGTTTTCACTGTTATTAAAAATGGAGATAGGACAAGAAAGCACCGAGGTCGCGATTTCTGGATTGCTCGTAGGGCCAACAACTAACTGCATGGTTAGTGAATCCGGTCCCTAGCTCTAGCTAGATCTGTACAGTGTTGTGTGGTTCTAGAGGTTCAGCTCATGATATTCCTGCTACATGTACGTGTACAGTGTCTGTGATGTTTTTTGTGTTTGTGGTAGAGGGAAGCTAATCTCCTAGTTGTGTATTGGCTACCGACTTGTCATGTATCATTAACATTGGAGCAAACAGCCCAAGAAGAGATCTGTGGTGTACGTCTCATGTCTGAGGGAGGGCAGCGTCGGGGAATTGAGAGCTCTGGTCTTGAGTCTGCTCATGATGGTTCGACAACAGGTCCCAATATGTGCCAGAGCTGGCAGGGAACAGAAGTAAATGCCAAGAAAAGGAGGCTGGGGGGGG